CCAGGAGGGACCTGCCTCACCCTTCCAGACCAGCAGTGCTGCATCCCACAGGAAATGATCCCCCAGGATCCTCACCTCAACCACAGGGTCCTTGGAATAGCGTCTCAGGATATCCAGCACCTTGGGGTTCCCAATAGCGCCCAGGGCTTCACCTGAAAGAATGAAGGACAGGATTGGGGTGTCTCTATGAGGAGGACCCTGCTGTGTCCTCTGGCAAAGCCTTGCCCTCCTCTGAAATATGGACAACTGATCCCAAACAGAACAAATGAGGACACAGGCCTGACTGACAGATCCCAAATGGGACAAACATGGACACAGGCCTGACTGACAGATCCCAAATGGGACAAACATGGACACAGGCCTGACTGACAGATCCCAAAAGGGACAAATGTGGACACAGGCCTGACTGACCAATTCCAAATGGGACAAGTGTGGACACAGGCCTGACTGACCAATTCCAAATGGGACAAACACAGCAGGAGGGAGCCTGGCCAAGAGGGAGCCTCCTGTGGAACAGGAGGGCTCGGCCAACCAGTCCAGCCAGGCCTGGCCAGAGGATGTGGTGAGGCATTCCATGACTCAGGGACTGACAGCCAAGTTGGTCCAGGCCCCCATGAGCTTCTCAGTACAGGGGGGGAAGCACCCCCAAGCCCCACTTGCCAGCCCTTCCCCACCCCAGAGCCACAGAAGCTGCCGCACCTGCTTCGTGCCTGACCATGGGCTCCTGTGCCGTGTCCTCCAGCACCTGGATGAGCACGGGGATGGCGGACTCATCCTGCATCTGGCCCAGGCAGAAGGCCAGCTCGTGCTTCAGCAGCGCCGAGCCATCCCCGAAGGCGCGGCCGATCCAGCGCACGGCCGTGGGGCCACCCAGGTTCCTCAGGGTGAAGAGCGCCCGGAACCGCGCGGGCAGAGGCTGCGCCGCGTCCAGCAGCACGCGGCCGATGGCCTCCAGCTCCTGCTCCGTCACCATGGCGGGGGCACGGTCCGGTCACACGAAGTGCGCTGCGGGGGCTCCTCGGTCACCGTCCTGCGCGCGGGGAAGGGAGYGAGTCACGGGGAGCCCTCGCTGCCACCGGGTCCCGGTGAACGGGACCCCGGGGCCGGGGCTGAGCCTACAGCGAGCGCCCGGACCCGGGTTCACCAGATACCCGGGACGGACGTGAATCCCCTGCCGCGATCGCGCCGGGCCGGGCCCGAGGGAACAGGAGCCCGAAGGGAGACACAGAAGGTCAGCGGGAAACAGACGGACTGGGGGGGTTCCTGGAGGGTGCCGGGGTGTCCGGGGGTGACCAGAGAGGACCGGAGGGACTGGGGGGGTTCCTGGATGGTGCCGGGGGAGGTGTCCGGGGGTGACCAGG